CATTCAAAACGCCTTTGTTGGGTTCTAGTCATCTCGTCGAAGGGTATCACCCTTCATGCGTTATACTGGAACGAATGCCATACATTTGGTTGGCGAGGTTGTGACTTGAATGTTCTCCCTTTATTTACTGGCCTGAACTGCCTCTCAAAAGGCAGTCCCCTATAGAATGATGTACCTCGCCCTCTACCAGGCTGAGCGTTTGGAAAAAAACTAGAGCGATGGTGATGCTGCCATATCCCTGGTTTCTCTATATTTGCACTCACTTCTCTTTTGCATCTTGCACACAGGAGGTCTTCATCCTTTTTGGGCTCCTTTCCTTTGATACGTTCAAAGATACTGGAATGTGGCCCAGGGTCCTCTTTCCCATCATCTATAACCAATTTGAATTTTGGCCACTTGTTTTTGAAATCAGTCGTCGCCATGTTCACCCCAAGTGGCTGTGGAAAATGGTTTTCATTTACTGCCATCTTCTTCTTATCTTCGAACGTAATTCGTCCTGATTCAATGGCGTCCTATAACACATGGCGAAAAACCAAACAGTTTTTAGTCAAATGTGACCATGCATTATGATACTTACAATATTTTTTACCCTTTACTTGTTCAAGGCTTGGCAATTTATGTTTATCGCTCAACTTTATCTGTTTATCCTTATATAGTTTATCAAATATAAGGTCAGTTTTGGTTACATCGAACGAGAACGTTCTAGCCTTTTTGTTTTCATCTTTTATAGGCTCATCCTTACCCGACGATCTAGACTTAGCCATTATAGGACAAGTATACGTATCTCCTTTAATTAATTCAGTCAAACACATTTCGGCTTGATCGTAATATTCGTCATTAATGGTATGAATATCAAAGTTTGGGTCTCTATAATAAGTCCCCTTACTAGAATTTTTCATTTGCTCTTCTTCTCTTATTAATCGTTCATACCTAATCACGTTTGCGCTTAATTGAAAAAGATCAAAAAATTCCTTGTATTGGAATTTCTTTTTCAAATCAAAGTTTAGACAATTTTGAGCAATTTTGACAAATTCCTTTTCGGGCAAAGGTACAAAACATTTATTTCTTGCTGTCTTAAACCTTTGAAAGAAACCTTCTGCCCATTCGTTTGGCATTTGACGCAGACTCGCCAAATCGATCAAAGTAATTTCAGACTCAGTCTTATAAAATTGAGTATGGAACAATTGCTCCAATTGTTGCCATATTTGAACAGAGTTCACTGACAAATTGTTAACTAGAAGAAAGCTACTCCTGTTAATGAATTAGGGAACAACCTCATTTTATGGTAGTCTGTTACCTCACCACTTTGCAGTGTGAATCGCCATATGTGTTCTAGAGTAGACACGTCTCCTAAATCGATAAATAGTGAGAATTCTGGCACTTTATACTCTCTAGGCCATGGATATGCTTGATCTACCCAATTAGGATATGGCCTTGTGTAAATCGGCCTAATGACATGACGTACTCCAAAAGCCATCTAATCCTGTACTATTTCCATAATTGGATTCCTCAATATGACGTTGGGGTCATATGGAATTCCTACAGGTTGGTTGATCGGTTGATTTACTTGAGGCCTGATATTTGGTCCTTGGTTGGCAACAAAGTTGCCTTGATTTGGGTCATTGTTACCATTAGCCTGAATATTTATTTCATCATTAATACGTGGGGCATTCTGTCCATTGTTTAGGACATTGTCTCTTACATTTAAGTTACCCCCCAAGTTAGCTGTATCATTACCACTATTCTGATTTGGCATTACAACATCCCCTAGTTTGAAGTAAAGGGACCAAAATGTGGTTCTATCCCTCGATTTGGACTTAGGATTGGGGGATTATGTCCCACAATTGTCCTAGCTTGAAAGTGATTTGCAAGAGGCACAACTGGCTGACAAATTTGACCTACTAACTTATTCATTATTTCATTCAAAGTATTCAATTGTTTGGCCATGTTGTCATAATGTGCATTCCCATTCTGGGTAAATCTTTTCATATTATGAATATTTCGTAGATTTACTTGTTCAACGACATCCTGTGTGAGTTCTCCAAGTAATGCACGCATGGTTCGAGGACTCAACTCTGTTATTGGTTCGTAACGACTATGACTGCTCTGACTCTGTCCCTCTGTTCGTGGAGAGCTATGCTGCTCCTCATATCGCTCGATCACAGACTGGACTCTTCCATGACTTGCTACTTCCTTATCAAATTTGTGAGGCATATTGTTTCACCTTTTGTATCTTCAACACCAAACACCAAGGTCCCACCGAGCGTGCCAAACTATTTCGCGTGGATAGTCGCTAACAATTAAAAATAGATTAGACGATTGTGTAAGAAACAAGCCTCTTGATACAAAGTCCCAAAAATGGGTGTTTTATTGGTGATGATTTACAATTGGAACTAAACAGAATGCCTCCAAGGGGTGCAAACATACGAGTACTGAAAGAAATGTTTAAATTTAAACTAAGAAATTGAAATTACATATTCTCTGTTTAAGAGTATTTGATTCGAGGGTCTTTTCTCTCTATGTCTTCTCTTCCTTTTATATTCCCTTGATGATTTCTTCGTGACAAACCGCTTGAAAACTGTTTGATTACTTTATAACTACTCACTCTCTTTATGGTGGCTAACTTGTCGTGGAACTGCCGTCTCTAAATGCTGCCACTACTCTTCCTTGTTCAACCGCATTTAACTGGGTTCCTTGAATCGTAGAATGTGATAAGGTTACTCAATAACTGCATTTCTGGATAACCATAACATTTTATGTTTGCTAAGATCCTGGGAGATTCGAAGATATGGGCGAGAACAGGGTCATCGCTCTGGGCGACTGTAAGGTACTCTATTCGCTCAGATCTTGGGCGTCTTGCAAGCTTGGGCGATGATGTTACTGTGTTCGTGGGCTTCTACTGCATTCATTAATAACCTTGTTTGGGCCTTTATCCCAAATTGCCCAATTAGGTTTCATTCTTTGGGATATTTGATTTGGGAATTCCTCAATTGGGTTTCATTCATTGGGCTGCACTTTTAGTGTGTCAACAGGAGGAAACAAATATTTTTTGAATAATTCTATTTGCAGTCGCTCACTGCGGCAGTCGCCCTACATGGCATACACATGGCAGGTGGTTATTTGATACATTAATGAATAAAAAAACTACCACATTAATGCATCAAATAATCACCTATCACGTGTATGCCACGTAGGGCGACTACCGCAGTGAACGACTACGAATTGTATTACTCATATTTTTTATCAACTGACAGAATTTTTGATAGAAATTGTTAGAAGTTCTTCTAGTACACTTCTATTAAATGTTTGGAATTGCGTTTTTAAAAATGTTTGAGACATCTGATACAAATTTTCCTTATTTTGATTAATTAAAGGTTAAAAGACCATTTAATCATTGTTAAAATGAATAATATTATTTACAGTCGCTCACTATGACTATTATTCTATGCGACATAAACATGATCGGTGTTTATTTGATACAAGAGTCAATAAAAAAATTACCAAATTAATGAATCCAATGACCACTTGTTATGTGTATGTATAGGAGAACTATATTAATGAGCAACTAAGAATAGTATTATTCTTTTAAAATTGATCTAAATATGGTTGAACGCTTGTTTAATTTCATTTTTTTGGGGTCAAATTTCTGTAGATGATGAATAATTATTTAACCAAATGATTATCAATTGCTGATAAGGATTTTTCCTCAGAAAAGGTTGATTTGAGGGCTCAAATGATTGAAACAATAGTGACATTTTGTGCTAATATTTCTAATTAAAATAATTTATTTTTGTCTAAATTAATTTTAAATAAAAAATAATATTAACAAAAACAAATGTAAACGTAAAGCAGAGAAGGGGGAAAATATCAAAAAATAGAAAACTTGTACTCTTTTCATCCCATAAAAATAAACTTATTTTCATTTTTCATCTATTCCAAATTATACGTCACTTTCCTTATTAAAGATATAGTTGATTATTTAACTTTTTAATATGTCATTATTTAACGTGCTTTGTTATTAACAAACTACTCTTATTTAAATAATTATTTAATGTAAGGATATATATTAGAAATTAGATAAGAAAAATTTAATTTTCCAACCATTTTAACTACATAATCCATTTCACGGGACAAAAAGAGTATTGAAAAGCAAGGTTTCTATAGTTATAAAAAAGAAAGAGAGAGAAATCAGAGAGTATTAAACCCCCTTTTGGTAGGAATAAAAATGGGTGGAATGATATTTTTTTGAAAAATGAGTGATTGAAAAAAAAAATTTCAATTTACATGTAATATTATTTTATGAAAGATTGTGTAGTTAAAATTGAAAAGAGAAAAATAAAATGTAATGAAATAAAAATTAGAATAATGTTTGTGGTACATCGAGGTGTCCAAAATGGACACCCCGGCACCTCGGTATTGGCCGAGGCGCCGATGGACCCCGACGTGGCAGGCACCTCGGCCAATGTCGAGGTGTCGGGTGTCCATTTTAGACACCCCGTTGGCCACCACAATGTACTCGTAACATAATTGTAAAAATTAATTGGGAGGGGGCGTGGGGCGAGGGTTTAAAAAGTGAGGTTTCTATGATAATTAAAAATAAAAAAGAATTCTATTATTTTCATACACATACTCCACGAAGCAACGCAATGAAATAAAATAATGAGTCCAATGAAATTGTAGTAAGGACCAATAATGCATTTTCCCTTTAAGTGAAATGGCAGTGCGCCACATTGTGGACCCCTTTAATCAAGCATAAGATCTTAATAAAAACCCAAACATTACTTTAATGAGATCCAACAACAATTTCAAGGAAATTTTCAAAATCACTGGATCAATTATCATCCATACTGTGATTTTGTAAAATAACAGAAGGATAGTGTACAAACCATGCCTTCGTGAAATCGTAGAATTAAACCCTAATTTTAATTGGTAAGTCATTTTTAGCTCAAAATTAAGGATCGGAATTGAAAAGATCAACAATCAAACATAGACAGTAGAGATGATCAGTGGAGTAAAATGATTAAACCTAATTATTTCAAAGGCAGTTTCCATTCAACGAAAAGCAAGAGAGTGAACCAAGAACAACCTCTCATAAATCCTAAAACCAAAACGAGAAGAAAAGATCAGAAGCCACCACTGTAGTAGAATAGATAATTCATAATTGATCTAGGACAGTTGACCACAATCAGCAACCACCACTGGCTTTGCAGTCTTTCCAGAACCAGATCCAACTTTCTCAATGGCTTTTACCACATCCAAACCCTCAACTACTTGCCCAAACACCACGTGTTTCCCATCAAGCCATTCGGTTTTCGCAGTACAGATGAAAAACTGAGATCCGTTGGTTCCAGGTCCCGCATTGGCCATGGAGAGAATACCAGGACCAGTATGCTTCTTCACGAAATTCTCATCGGCAAACTTGGATCCGTATATCGACTCCCCACCGGTGCCATTTCCGGCAGTAAAATCACCTCCCTGGCACATGAAATTCGGAATCACACGGTGGAAAGCGGAGCCTTTGTAGTGAAGTGGCTTGATAGATTTTCCGACGCCTTTCTCTCCGGTGCAGAGAGCGCGGAAGTTCTCAGAGGTGCGAGGGACGACGTCGGCGAACAGTTCCATCACGATCCGACCAACAGGTTGACCGCCGATTGTCATGTCAAAGAATACCTTAGGATTTGCCATTGATTCTTCTTTTATCTGATAGTGGTCTTTCGATTTTTCTTACTGGCGCACAGGTTTAAGCGAAGAAGAAGAGGTTTTTTATAGGAGATAGGGAAGACGCGATTGTAGATGGAAGATAATCACAGCCGTAAAATTGGGACGCGTGTCTTGATCCTAAGACGGGTTTATAAAGGGTAGGACTTGCGCAGAAAGTATTGCGGTTTGGATAGTTTTGGATTTTATCGATAAACACATTTTCTTTTAGGTAAATTTCATAATTAAGAAATTAATTATGGCACATTTTAAAAACAAGAAAATAAGTTTCAAATTTTCAAAATCAGATTTTTATTAAAAATTATTTATAATTTAATTAGTTAATTAATTATTTTATTAATTAAATATATTTAGGTCACAGATCTATACAATTTGATCACAAATTAACAATATAATTAGTTATATATTATTTTTTGGTCACAAATCAAAAAATTTATGTCACAAAATTTTTTTACGATCACATTTCAAAAAATTTGTAAGTCACAATTTGTTTATTGGTCACAAATCCAAAAATAATTTGTCACAGATTAATTTTTAGTCACGATTTATCATATTATTGGTCACAACTTATTTTTTGGTCACAAATTAAAAATTTTATAGGTCACATATTATTTTTTGATCACGAATCAAAAATTTTATAGGTCACAGATTAATTTTTCGATCACAACTCAATAAATTATAAGTCACAAACACAAATTTTATAGGTCACAGATTAATTTTTCGATCACAACTCAATAAATTATAAGTCATAAACACAAATTTTATAGGTCACATATTATTTTTCGATTACGAATCAAAAATTTTATAGGTCACAGATTAATTTTTCGGTCACAACTCAATAAATTATAAGTCACAAACACAAATTTTATAGGTCACATATTATTTTTCGATTAAGAATCAAAAATTTTATAGGTCACAGATTAATTTTTCAGTCACAACTCAATAAATTATAAGTTACAAACACAATTTTTAGGTCACGTAATATTTATTTATTACAAATTAACCAATTATTGGCCCATTCAACTTATTAATTGGTCACAACACATGTGACCACCGCCTAACCACTTCTTGCAATAGCCCACCACACCGCTGTATCTAGAAATTTTATAGGTCACCGATTATTCAACGGTCAAGAAATTAAAAATTTTATTGTCACTATTCATTTACTCATAGTAAATTATTGAATTTTTCGGTCACGATTAATTTTTCGATCACAATTTAATCAATTGAGAGCCACGGTCACATATTCAATGTCAAATCACAATTGGGAGTCACAGTCACAATCACAATTATCAGCACAGCCAACATCGCTAGTTGCGGTAGCCAGCACCACCAACATCATCACCACTGCCACGACCACCATGACCTGCAACCACGGCCACCACCAACATCATCATCAATTCTCTGAACACTAACAACACCTCCACCTTGCTGCAGTCGCCACCACGACCTGCAACCACCACCATCTCATAATCACCACTGCCACGACCCCCCACCGTCAGCCACCATTCCAACACCACTGCTACCTACGCACCCACCAGATCAACCATCACACAACACCGCACACCCAGCCACCGGTCACCGCACTCAACCACAACATCAAACCAACCACTCACTGCACAAAAAGCAGATTTGTAGCACCCATGGAGAAACGCCGGCATTGAACGCATCTACTGCAGATCGCGACCAGATTTACATCAACAAATCAGATCTGAAATGCCATCACCTTACTGCCGTCATCACCGTCTCCACAATCACTACCATAACCACCTTCACCATTTTCAACCACCACCACCCTAAAACACTTATTCACAGAAAATAGGCAAGAAGAAACCATTACGGTACATCACCGCAACCACACCACTCACCCAACCACCGCAACCATACCACCACCACACCTCTCATTTCCCACTACTACCACGCATCACAGTACCATTACCGTCGCTGCTACACAACATCGCGTTACACGCCTGCTGCAGGCGACGTGCTCTTCTGTCGACGGAGCTCTCTTGGTGACGCGATTCGTTTATGGTGAGAGAAAGAGGAGATAGGGAGAGGGATAGCCACTATGCACAACAGCTCTGCTTGCAGGCGCGTGCTCTTTGGCCGGCTCAACTCTCTTGGCGGCGCCGTTGATGGTGAGAGACAGAGAGGTTATAAGGGGAAGCAATGGGGAGACAAAGAGGGATTAGGGTTTGATAGGTTATGTATTTAATTAATATAATTTTATAATTATTATAAATTAAAAAATTTGATTTTTGAAATACCAAACTTAGCCTATGATTTATGAAATAAGATATTTAAGAGTAGGGTTTTATGTAATTTTCACTTTTCTTTTTAGGGTTCGGTTGGTTTGATTGCAAACATGCGATTTATATAAAAAGAAAATAAATTTTAGATAATTCAATTGTTTAAAACGTATTTATATAGAAATTAATAATTAATTATGGGCTTAATTGAGATAAAAAAATATTACAATAAAAAATATGACTTAGAAAATGAAATATTTTCCTTATTTTGAGGAAAATAAAAATCTAATGCTTTCAAAGAAAATATTTTCATTAAAAATAAGGAAAATGAGACATATTTTCAAAAGTTGAAAAAAAAAATAAAAAATTTAAGGAAAAAATAGCAATCAAACACTTGATAAAAATTTGGGTAGAAAATTGATATTTTTTATGAAAAATAAATGCTTGATTAATTTAGTTTTCAACGTAAAAAATATTATACTTGCTAATTTTTATTGGTGGATTGATGAGAGAGTATGGATTGAAAAGAGAAGAAGGAGAGTGAATTACTTGGAAAATAAAAATCACCTCTCCCTAAATAAATTAGTTTCCTTATTTTTAAGGAAAATACCAAAAGTTGGAAAATATTTTTCATGAAAAACTTTAATTAAATACCTCAAAAGTAAAAATTTGGGTGAAAAAAATGACATTATCCATAAAAAATAAAACCAATCAAACATACTCTTAATTCAAAATATATAAAAATGAATGCATATAATTATACAGAAAAAACACTATCGTTTGTACCTCACGGATAGAATTGAACATCAAATCTTGGGATTAGAGATGACAAGTTGGCTCAAAAAAATCCGAGCCTCAGGGCAATGAGATTGTTTCGGATCGAGGCTTTGTTGCCCATTAAAAAAACACACTAGCCTAATTTTTTTATGACCAAGCCTATCAGCCAATTTCCATATTACCTTATAAATTTTTTTTTCCTAAATTTAAAGAAATATAAACAGGGACATTAAACCCCACCTTAAGCACAGAATGGGACTCCAGCACCATCCTCGATCTGTCCTATTTTCATCCCAACTTTAAATCCTGAAGTGGCAAATCTCATCTATAGGGCTTTCAACGATATTTTAATTGGGTCTCTAAAATTTAATGAGTCTAATAAGATAAATGGACTTGAATTCAGGGCATGTTTGAGCCTCGTTTTTCAAGTCAATGCAATTTGAAATAATAAATTGATAAAAAATGTAAGATTCTAAAATAAGGAAAATTTTTGAATCACGTGTAATATTATTTTATTGAAAAATATATGATTGAAAAAAAGAGAAAATATATATATTTTAAACAAAGTGAAAATCGAGGGCTAATCTAAAATTTCACTATGCCCTCACTTGATGTTTCACAAACCAAAAATTTACTTTACATTCATACGGCAAATACTCTTCTATGTAATCACTATGCAATATGCCAACTTACAACTACGATACGAAAAGTGTTGTTTGCACTTTGGGAAAAATTGTAAATGTATTGGGAATGGGTCAATGGGATTATATTTATGGTCTATGGATTAATGAACATGGACATTGGACCATATGATATGGATATTGAATTTAAAATTTGGGCTTTCTGATCATTGGGCTAGGGAAATTAATTGGATTAGTTGTTGACAGACTTGGCACAGAAAGCGTAAGTTACGTTCTCAGGAGGGGAAGAGGGGGGGGGGGGTGAACTCCAAAAAATTGTGAGCTCATTTGACCCCACATGACCCCATGTGAGTCCGCCCCTATGTTCTCCACACCTTCACACGAAATAATTGAAGTGAAGAAAAATTTCTTCTCCAAGAGTATCCAAGAAAAAATAAAATATAATTTAAGTTGTCTAAAGGATCAACTAGGAAAATATAGTTTTACAACAGATAACTGCAGTGAAAAGTACTTAAATTTACAATAACAAGTCAAAATAATGCTTCTGTCTGTAGTAAATCGGGATATACAAATGATACAATTTGCTTCAAGGATTGTATAGGTTCTTTCAAAAACGAATGCCCCTCAGTTGCTGGAAAATTCAAGTAAAAGAAATTAAATTATAATTTACCAGACTACTTAAAACCCTTACAAAAGCAGTGAAGAAGAAGAAAACCCGTACCTCTCATCAACAACCTTAGTTCCTTGGAGAAATTTTCAATGTGTCCCAGCACAGGTCTCATTCCACAAATTTGTACGACGCAAAATTCTAAATATAATGCCATTATTGTTATTTGCATCAAGAGGAGACACGCGTTTCGTATTTCAGAAGTAAGCTGCTTCATCTTGTTGGCTTCACACAACTCGGTGACAATCACAATCCCTTGATCCTAACACCAATATAGTGAACGATCATAAAATAATTAGAAATGTTACTAAGATTCCACACGGGATCTAAATGGAAATATCTATGCAATACTACTGTCAAATTACGAATACTAATACTGAAAGGTAATCCCCCAGTCAGGCACAGGTGGCTCTTACTTCAAAAGCATCGTATTGATTGAAATACTTGTAGCTGCACTAGTTTAGAACATGTCTAAGCTTAAAAAGTTAAATTGGAAATAAGTTAAGTTACTTTCAAAGTAAGTAATTTTTGTACTCAAAATTAAGAAAAAAGAATTATATCATAACATGTTTTTTAAAACAGAAAGTTAATTTAAAGTAACTTTTACTTATTTCCAAGTATAACCAAACATGATCATTGCCATCCAAACTGCTTAAATTTGGCTTCCAAACAGAAAGAAGATGCCTGACAAGGTGGAACTTGGAAGAAAGATATGAGTAGTTTACCTGCAAACCATGTAGGATATCAGGCATTGGTAACTCTGGAAAATGCGCAAGATCAATAAAACCAACCTCCTCAGCCCTTCTAGCCACATTTTCAGCTTGTTGACACAAAAACTTCAGAAGAAGAAATGCAACTTTATATATCTCAGTTGCTATCATGTCTGAAAATTGCGTCTGACAAGAAAGTGCAAACCAGCCATTTCTGCTTTTTATAAATGATGGCATCCTATGCCACTCAAACTCGTCTTTGCGCATAGGATGACACAATAGAGGGGCAACCTTTTCAGGGGATTCTCCATGGCGTTGAGTTGCTCGACTAATGAAGCCTAAAAATTGGATACTTCTCTCTCTTAACTGTGACTCCATTACTTTCATGTCTTTAGTCCATGAATTCCGATGTCTGGCCAAGACACAGATAAGCATTATTGTATGTTCGGTTTCTCTAAGTTCACTAAGAGAAATATTCGTTTTCACCACACGAGCTCTTTTCTTCTCATTACCATCAGATGGAAAATCTGGTGCACTGAGATAATAAGAAATTACAGGAGCCTTCTCAAC